CTCTCTCTCTCTCTCGGGGGGCGCCGCGGGGCGGAGGAGCGCTCGAGGCGGAGGACCGAGCAGCCATGAAGGGAATGGGTCCTCCTCCTCCTCCTCCTCCTCCTTCATCCTCCTCCTCCTCAAGTTTCTCGTCCTCGTCGCCCTCCTCCTCCTCCTCCTCCTCCTCACCTCCTCCTCCTCCTCCTCCTCCTCCTCCTCCGCCTCCTCTTCATCCTCCTCTTCATCCTCCTCTTCTTCCTCCTCCTCTTTCTCCGCCTCCTCCTCAGGCTTTTCGTCCTTTTCGCCCTCCTCCTCCTCTTTCTCCTTCTCCTCTTCATCCTCTTCATCCTCCTCTTCTTCCTCCGATTCCTTCTCAAGTTTCTTATCCTTTCAGCCCTCCTTCTCCTCTTCATTCTCATCTTCTCAGAACTGGGTTTAATCGAACCTGGTTTAGTGATGTGTACTGGGGAACGCCCCCTCCGCCCCGTTCCACTATCCGGAACTATCGTCACCCGAAGAAACACCAACTACCGCAGACCTGGTTTAGTGATTCTGGCCAATTCAATGGCTCCGGGGCCCTGCCACTAACCGGGTCCCCTTACCTGGGGTTCTGGTTATACCCGATCTTCATCCTCCTCTTCTTCCTCCGCCTCCTCCTCAGGTTTCTCGTCCTTTTCGCCCTCTTCCTCAACCCTCTTCCTCCTCCTCCTCTTGGCGGCGCTATGGGGGTAGGGAGGGGGAGGCCTCTCAGGAGGAGGCTGCTCCTCAGCCTTCTAGGCGTGCCCGTAAGAAGCCCTCCCCCCTCCCCGTGCCCCCCTCGGCGCGTGACCGATCCTCGCCCCGAATCTCGACGACGACGGCGGCGACGGCGGCGGCCGACGGCGACGGCAACGGCCAGCCGCGGCCGACTTGCCCCGAGTTTCGTCGCTGTTTGCTCAAGCTCCCGGGGCCCTCCGCGGGCCCCCGGAGAAGCAGACAACGGCTCAGGAGGAAGAGATGGCCGCTGGAGAAGGCCTCGCGAGGGGGGGGGGCCTCGAGTCTCGCGGACCCGTCCTCGCGAGTCCTCCTCCTCCTCCTGCTCCTCCTCCTCTTTCTGCTCCTCCTCTTCTCTAGGCTCGGGAGGAGGGGGAAGAGGAGGAGGAGGAACAAACACACCGAGAGCCTCCCACGGGACCCATTTCCTCAATGCTGAACGATGGGGAGCGTGGAACGATCGAGGAGGAAGATGGGTCGAGGAGGGAGACCGATCGGGGAAGAGAAGGAGGAGGAGGACCACGAGGAGGAGGAGGACCAGGAGGACCAGGAGGAGGAGGAGGAGGAGGAGGAGGAGGGAAGAATCGAGAGGATCCGAATCAACTGCCTGGAAGCTCCTAATCAAAGAATAGAACTTGAAGACGGGCCGAGGAGGACGAGGACGACCGATCGGGGAGGAAGGCTGATCGCAGAGGAGGTGGCGCTCTACGACACGCTCGGGACCTCCCTCCCAGAGGCGCCGCTGAGGGGTGGATGAGCGATCTGGGACGTAGAACGCTCGAGGAGGGAGAGCGATCGAGGAGGAGGAGGAGGAGGAGGAGGAGAAGGAGGAGGAGGAGGAGGAGCAGGAGGAACAGGAGGGGGAGGAGGAGGGCGAAGATGACGAGAAACTCGATGAGGATGAGGATGAGGATGAGGACGAGGATGATGATGTTGATGTTGATGTTGAGGTTGATGATGATGATGATGATGATGACGATGATGATGATGATGCTGATGATGATTATGATGATGATGTTGATGTTGATGATGCTGATGCTGATGCTGATGATGATGATGATGTGGGCAACTCTCGAGGCCAGGGGGTCCCTTTTTGTGCAAAGGACACGGCAACAGGCGAGGACGGCGGGAGCATGCTGGCGCCATGCACCAGGAAAGGCATTCTAGAGCGGGACAAAGGGTGGGCGGGAGAAGCTTGAGAATGGTAGTGCGGCCCGAAAGAGAGCCACAAAAAGCCGCGGGCAGCAATATGTGGGCAACTCTCGAGGCCAGGGGGTCCCTTTTTGTGCAAAGGACACGGCAACAGGCGAGGGCGGCGGAAGCATGCACCAGGTACTTAGGCTAGCCCATCACACTGGCTGAAAGCCGCATTGACTGAATTTTCACATAGTTTTGATCTGCTGAGCGACGTAGCGAAGCGAATCAACACTGAGAGCCATCCTGTCGCAGGCACATCTTAGAACATTGACGGGGGGCCGCGACGCTTTGCTGCGGACCTGACGATCTAGAGATGGGATGCCGAGCTCGCCAAGATGTCGTTTCCCAGATCGACAACAGAGCGAGTCGGCAGGCGAACAGATAGCAGAAAGAGAATTCATGTCCTTAACATGCCAGCTCACCAATCGAAATCTTCTCTTTACACGGCCAGCAAACATACATGCATCAAAAGCAGCAGCAGACAAACACTGGCTAACGAGAGCGGCGCAGGCTGGGACATCCCAGATAAAAGACGCATCTGGATGACACAGCGCGGCAGGAACTTTATTGCTGCTACATAGTGACAGGAGGCGCACGTACTGACTGCAAAATAGATTCGCAATGTGAATTGATCGAAGCTGGGCACTAGACAAAATCGGCAGGCCGTTGGGACGAGCTATGCTACGGACAGCGGGCTTCTGAGGAAGCCAAGTAGTCGTGTCGGGCCCCACCCGCGCGCGCGAAATGCAGCCTGCACGGATCCAGCCTAGCACACGCTTCATCACTAAAGGATCTGTGATGCCATCAGTGGCCTGGCGTCTCACGCTCAAGTGCAGCACGCCGAAGCCGAGGCGCTGCAGCGCGCGAGCCGCGCCGCCGTCGCCGCCAACCACCAAGGCGGGCAGGTACCTGGACCGCGTCGCCGCGCGTCTGGCTGCACGCCAAATCCGTGTCAGGCGGAGGCCCACCGCGCTGTCACTTGCGGAGGCGGATGCCTGACCGCTGGCGGTGTCGGCGTCGCGGCAAGCGGCCGTCGCAGAGAGAAGACGCCCGTGGTGGTGGTCTGCAGCATGAGATCGTCCATCAGCGAGTCCACCCCGTGCCCACGGCCGATCAGGATCTGGTCTAAAGTGGCAATCTGCTGCAGCACTCGAGCCCTCTTGGTGTGGCGGGAGAGGCTCGGGTCCGTTCTCCACTGGCCGCGGTCCTTGGCCTCCTCCCTGGTGCGACGACGAGGTGGGCAGTCGTCGGCCGCACCCCCATGCCGATCCTCTGTCTTCCCAGGGCGATCGAAGCAGGCGCCGTAGACGATCAGGGCCAGACGTCCGTATCCGAGAGTGGCATCGGGTCTTGGTCGAAGAACGCCGCCCGCTGACAGGCGATAGGCCGCGTTGGTCGTCGGGTAGGCGTCGATCATCAGCCTGATGAACACTGCCATGCCGAAGAGCTTCCACGAACCGAGGACGCCCACCATGGAGGCCATCGCCGCCCGTGGAAGAGAGGGTCGCATCTGCGGGGGCGCGAGCTTCCGCCAGCCTGTCAAGGCGCGAGCCGCACCCGTGGACAGCGCCGTGCCCGCCATAGGCGGGCGCAGGTAGTGCTTCACTGAGGCGAGCACGACTCGGCCCGTAGCATCGTCGAAACTGACCAGAAAGAGGTTCACGAAGTAGGTAACTAGGATGACAACGACCTCCGCCGCTGTGGTGATGGTCTGGGGCGTCTGACGGCTCCACTCCTCGAACTTCTTGACCGCGCCCCAGTCGTTGACCATGGTCGTGTCCGACACGGCGGCTGACTCGACGACCGAGAGCGCTGCCTGCCCGAGCCGTTCTGGCTTTGGCGGCGTCTTGGTCCTCAGCTCCGTCGATGTCGAAGCCCGGTGGCGGCGAAGCTCGGGGGGCCGCCGCCTGGTACTCCTCAAAGGTCGGCCCGACAAAGAAGCCTGTCCTCGACGGTGAGTCAGCGGCATTGCTTTCGCTAGGGATCCATCGCACTGCGTGACGAATGCCTGAGGCTGCCGACAGGGCGCAGAGGCGACGTAGCGGATCACGAAGCCCTCGGGCGCCAGAACGCCCCTTGCCAGCAGCGAGGGCTAGAGCCAAATTGTCGACGGTGAACAGGATGCGATGATGCCGAAGCCGTCCAGACCGAGCCGAGTGTCGCATCGCAAATCCCAGAGCCTCCGCCTCGTATCGCATGATGTCCAGACCGAACCTAGCATGACGTGCGCTGTGTATCGTAGCCCAGCCGTCGAGAGCCGTGATCGAGTCGGGAACCTCGTCGAAGCCGTCCAGCGAAACGTCGTCGATCCCTCGATGTGATGATGATGCGGTAAGCGGGGGCTTGCTATGGGTCTCGGGAGGCCTCGGGCACTGCTCGCAATCTTTGAGGCAGTTTTTGCTCACGGCCGCTTCCAACACAACATTCGGGTCGACTCCCAAAGCGCGCGCACGAGCGCGCACGGCATCGGAGAAGCGGTAGCGCCATCTCTCCGACAATCGCCCTGCGGCTGCAGCCACGTCCTGCTCAACGGTCTTGCGACAGACGCCAATGCCGTAGGGAGATGCGTCGCTGCAGAAAGTGGTGGCCGCCCACTCTGCCCTGACATCAGCCCACCACAAAGGGATGAGGGAAGCAGCAGCGCGGAGCTCAGCGACGACTGACGGCCACAGCGGCAAAGCCCGACGGGAGTCCTGACCCATGAAGCGGTAGACTGCATGGAAGATCGACAGCATGGGCCTGTTGGTGATCATCCCCCAGGTGCAATGACCGACCACGGCGGACAGCGCAAGCGGCGATGCATAGCCTCGTCTGAGTAGACCGAGGAGGGCCTGGCGCAGCCTGCACAACCGGTCCACCTTGCACCTGATGACGCCCACGTCGCCCAGGATGTCGAGGCCTGTGAAGATGACGCGAGGCGCCGCGGGGGCGAACTCGTCCACGGGCAGGCCCCTCGCCACCAGCACGTCGCGGATGGCCTGGCACGAAGCGGTGGCAACCTCTGGATCGAGAGACACGGTGGCGAAGTTGTCCACGCAACCCGCTGCGATGACGTCGGTATCGTTTCGCAG